GCGGTGGGGTAGGTGAGGAGGAGAGGCTCAGCGAGGAAGGGAGCAGGTCGTGGTAGAATAGGGTTGGGATCAGAGGTGGCGGAGGACATGAGGAGTGAGGAGCTAGGAGAAGGAGTGAGGAGCAATGAGTCGTAGATAAGAACTCACCGAATGAGAGAAGCCGTTATGTGTCGTACTAGCCTGGAGAAGTGATGACGTCGATGATTGTCAAATGTTCTACACGATGTTAGAGGTCGTAGCAGGAACTCTCCACACCCCCCCCCCCCCCACTTCAATAGGCATTGATCCTACAGCTAGCGACACACGGTTCATCAATCTAGTGGCGAGATCAAGAGCGAGAGGAGAGTGCAGTGAGAGAGAGGGAGATGTGAGTGAGAGAGCGGAGAGTGGCGGGACAGGTTGGAGAGATGAGGAGTGATGAGATGAGATGATGCGCAGAGAGAGAGAGAGAGAGAGAGAGCGCGAGAGAGAGAGAGAGGAAGAAGGAAGGACAGTGAGAGGAAGAGTAACACGGAGAAGAGAGAGAGAGAGAAGACGACAACGAAAGAGAGAGAGAGGCAGAGACAGAGAGAGAAAGAGTGACACGGAGAAGAGAGAGAGAGAAGACGACAACGAAAGAGGGAGGGAAAGAAAAAAACACAGATCAAACACACTGAAACAAAATTCTACTGAAGCAACTCCTCCGAGAACCTCCAACCATTAGTCACGAAACGACGGGAAAATCTTCGCTGCCACTCACCGCACCTCGAGGCGAGGCCGCATGCATGTATGTATAATCAACGTAGTTATCGTATTAACGTAGATTCCCCCCGGACAACGCGAGACGCAGATTGCCGTGTTTAGACGTTCAACTCCTCCTCCAGCGGAGTTCGTAAATTCGATTCCTACAAAGCGGGTCGCTTATGCTTCTATTCCACACAGACCACAAATCCCACGAATCGCTACAAATTGATAAATTTTAAGATTCGTAGTTGAATCGTAATCAGTTCGTGAAGTTCTTAACCGATTCGTATTTATTCGTAGTCAGTTCTTTCAATTCTTGAGCGATCGGGAATTCGTGGCAAAAGTTTTGGCCAAGAACTCTCGATTCCAAAAAATCTTAGTTAATTTGTAACAAATTCGTAGTGCAGGCCTACAAAGCGGGTCGCTTACAGAGAGGGGATGTTTCGCCTCGCATTGCCTGCCCCCCAAGCATTCTCACACTTAACGGGTGGGCAACCGGAAACTTTTCGGGGGGGGGGGCTGTGAGCGATCGGCGATGTCTTTAATATGTCTACCTGGTTTGCTCCCCCAAAGCCTCGTCACTCTTAACGGGTCAGCTCCAGTGACCAAAACATTTGGGGTGGGTGCGTATTGGCATGGGCGCGTATCGGGGTGGGTGGGTAAGGGATGTGTTTTCAAACACCCGCGAGCACACGACTTTTGGCGTGGGTGCATATTATTATTATTATTAAATCTTTATTGCATGTAATTCACATACAGATACATGTACTGACGACAGTTTCGACATATCGGGGTAGGTGGCAGGCCTGTAAGGGAGTGATCACGGTGTGTTTCTCGACACCCTTACCTGGTTTCCGACGGTGGTGGGAGGCAGAGTGAGGCTGGAATCGTGCTTCAGAGGCAGCCCTTGCTCTATCGTCTTCACATCCAGCTGAAACACCCAACACGACCGCGCGAGTTCACTCCAGGATCGAAACAACACAACCGAACTAACTGAACAATGCACGTGCGACTAAAAACCGCGGGTACCCGTTGTCGGAAACAAAATTAGTCATAATGCTAGTCTCAACAAGAACTTTGTCTCGTAGATTGTTGCCAGAAGCATGGTAAAGTTACTAGTTTCTCCTAGGCAGAGTACACGGGTCCGGTTCACGAGGAAAAGTTGCTACGTTGAGACTAATATTAAGACTAATTTTGTTTCTGACAACAAGCCCGTCTCGCTTTGTCGCAGCGATGGGCTACACAGGCAGGGTCTACGCGGACTACTCCTTTCGCGTTATTTTCATCGGCCTGAGATCAAATGGCAAAGCGATTTATACGTGTGTGGTTTAGGTTAAACGGGCGCCATGCCAGGACAGCGGCTCAATTTTGTCTAACAAAACTCACATTCTGTCCGCACAATAAACTCATATTTAGTTGTGAACACAAAAACTCAATTCTTGTCAATCGCTGTACCAACAAAACTCAATTTGTAAACACAACTCAAATTCTGTCAAATCCTGGTTCCACAAACCTCATTTGTAAAGCACAAAACTCAATTCTGTCCAATGCCGGTTCCCATCAAAACTGTTTAGGCGCAGTCGAAAACGACTGGATTAAAAAGTCCCGGTCGCTGCTCCGGGCCCCAAACCGCTCGCCCCTTGGGCGCTCCGCTTCTTCCCTCCTCAGCGGCATCAACGGTGGCCCCCCCCCCTGTTCCTTCCCCGTTTCGAGCTAAGACCGCTCTCTCCGATTTTGTCAAAAACCATGGGTTGCAGGCGCTGTTTGCGAGAATGTTCTCCGGTGGCGCCAAATCTGGCGGGGGCGACCATCTCCCTGCGTTCCATTTCCTTTCGCGAAACCGACTGACGAACGCTAGCGGGCGAAAAAGTTCGGCGTCGCTGCAAATACTCCGTAGCAGAAGATCCGACAAAGTCGCAGACTGACATTGACCTTGACCCCGCTGCTAGGCGGCAGACGACAGGTCGCGGCCGTGATTCGCAAACGATTAGCAGAGGCGATGGTGTCCACGGAGTCTCGTACTCTATTATATCCTTCTTCTCTCTTTTTGTGTGA